GGGATGTTCTACGTCGACTATACTTTGTCTGCAGTGGCTCCTTGGAAATTCTGGAAAATGATGAAGTAGTAGCATTGTTAGGTAGGTTTTCTAGAATTATTTGAATTATATGCTGGTATCAAATGTGTCATTTGATTCCAGAATCCGTTTTTTCAATATAATGATGCTAGCTGTATTGAATTTCATAAGTGGATCACGTTCCACAGTAATTGCTGAGTTAAAACAAACCGTTGACCGGAATAATTTAAGTTGATTGCACAGTGAATATGATACGTGTTTTATCAATTTCTCCTCTACAATTGTAATCAACATGCATTCAGCTACTCATGAGTAGGCAAATATTGAATGCATAAACCTATATAATTTCATCAAGTTAAGTACACAAAGCACATTCGCATTCCAATACTGTTCACCACATTAAAAGAACATGGTCGATCCTTCATGGTCTGGTAGCCTACACGCATCCCTTGACACTATATGAGCCAGTGCCTCTCTTTGGCGATACGTGTCCCTAACTAACTCATGGTAAACAAGTGCTTTAAGTCATACTGGATGGTAAACACTACCGATGCCTTTGGAACTATGACCGACTGAAACCGTTCTCCTTCATCTTCGGGTAGCAAAAACCCAAAGATAATTCAGCGGGAGACAACGCCGCGAGTGAATAATAATTCATATTTATGTCAGTGAAGCATCCAATTGAAAATGTTCAAATTGGAGCATACCTACTTGAGAGGAAAATCGATGCAGTGGGCCATGTCCCCGCAACACAAACGAGTAGGCGATATGGGTAGGCCACTTCCTCGTTACACAACACAGATCTTCGATGATAAGAAATCTCTTTCCTTCTCGATATGAATAAATTAAATTTACCTTGATTAATCGTCGTTGTGCACGGGTAAAGGCATATCGAATGTCTATTTCAACCTTCTGGATCGTGATTTATTTTATCGGATGCCTTTATTACTATCTGTGGTAGTGAAAAAATATAATTCCGCCCATTAAAAATGCACAATTCAACTTATTGTTTTCCTTGCAAAGTTATCTATTTGATTTATGCCTCACAATAAAAATTTAATACTAGAACTAATTAGGATTTATTACTAATAGAATAAGGGTATACTTCAATTTATGATAAAACATTTTATACTTTAGACAAATTTGTGTTACATCTTTTACATCCATAACTATCCTCAAAATTCATTATGCCATACAGCTTTGTTAATAAAGCGTACAGTTTGCGGCCACATCGCCCCAGTCGCGGTTCTGCTTTAGTGATCACTTTTTCGATCCCATATTTTGGTTGTCCGTTGATCAACAACGGGGGTGCTGAATAGCACTTAAACATACCTAAATTATGAGGAAAATAGCTTGTCTTAACCACGAAGAATGAAAAAGCAAAACACAAGGCAATGGTGCCAACCCTAATTATTTGTAACGTGAGATTAACCGATCAAACGAATTGAAAAAGGCCTCCCAAGCGGGTCGAAACGTTGTCACTGATTCGTTGTGTTTTGGTTTTTCATTTGTCGTGGCTAGGACAAGCTAATTTTCTCAGTAATCATGAGTTTTCATTTTGCTCTTACCTGAAAACGAATGCCACGCTTAATTCTCTGAAAACAGCCCTGAAGGAGGTGGGGTGGGTAGAGAAAAGCAATTGCCTAATCCAATTCGCTCGCCCCCGTGTGTGGATTCTAACAAACCATTCCGGGTTTCTCACAATCCTGTTTTACCTAAAGGAAAAAATGATTGGTTTGGCACGTACATGACACCGAACGGGGATTTCTCACAGACTATTCGTTCACGCTGTGATGTGAAATCGCTTACTTACTGTGATCTACAAAGCATCGAGTTGGTTGTGTTGAATGAGGTGCTTGCTCAGTACCCGCAATTCAAATCGGAGTTTGCCGCCTACCTCTACGAGGACTTGTCTTTCAACATAGAAGAAGGAGCTGTAAGTTGTAAGCTGCTTTTATGCTCATTTCTCAATCCTTTCTCTATTCACAACGTTCAGAATAATGATTTCGATAATTTCATTTTTAATTTTCCACAAAATCTAATTACAAATGTGTTTTTGTCAAACACATCCACTCTCCGAATTGTGTGAACATAGGACTATCAGTCGGATATATTTGTCCTCACCCCAATACACCTCCTTTTACATCTATTTTTTCGGTGATTGAATGATTGAGTTAGCCGCAGACGAACTAGCTTGAAAAAGTCATTAGGCTATCTAATCATCTTCATTAGCTTGATTCATTATAAATTAAATTGAGAAATAAATCCTTCAGCTGGGCAAATTGCTAAAATCCTGCAGATGATTGCTCGTATAATCGCTTAAGCATGATTTAAGATTTCATTCAAAACGTTTCGTGAATGATTCAACAAAGGATGTTAAAGATAATCCAGTATAAGAAATGAATGCTCGTACACCAATTGGTACTTTCAGCTCCTGCATTATCTGTTCAACATTTATTATAATTCGAATTCACGTAAACAGTTTTCATAAAGTTCAGATGAATAGAAATCGCATACTAATTGACAGAGGCAAACAGACAGACAGACAGGAGCTCACCAAAAGTAGTTAACTACACGTAGGTCAACAACACTCTGGAATTCCCTTCCAGCGATTGTGGTGGAAGAGAAGACAGACGCTGCTTTTAAACGGCGTCTGGATGAGCACCTGAAGGGGCTATGAAGAAACGAACACTTGTGATCGGATCTTCGACCCAGTGGTGATGGGGGCTTACACGGGCACCCTGCCCTCTGCCCTCAATCCTGAAGACTGAAGACTAATACTAACCATAGGATCATGAATCAATAATAGGTTTATCTTGCTGATATGAATTGATATGAAATAATGCGTTTCTGCAAAATCTACTCATGATGAATACAGTCAGCTTCCAATTGTGATTATTGACAAATAGAACCTTTGAAAACAGCCCGTTGAGCATCATTTCCACTCTCGTCCAATGAACTGATCAGCGGGGAATGTATGCTCACTTAACACCTTGTCACTGGCAATTCAAAGATTTGTAATTGCCAAAATAAACTGTTTTCAGCCGAAATCAAATCGCGGGCAGCTTCTGACTGTGATTACAAAATGTGATTGCAGGAGAAACGTATATCCATATAGAGGCCTGAAGATCATTGTTTAGGCTTGGTTCATACAGATCAACCCCCAAGTGGCTTGACATTTTATTGTCACAATCTGTCCTCGAGTTCTTCAAGACCATGAGGCAGCCATTTCGTTAGCAGCAGTCAGGTGATTTTTGAGAATAATGTAGAAAGAAAAGCTAAAAATAAAACAAAAATCACCTTAGTTACAACTATTTTTGATAGTAATATTTTATTTAAATCTACTCTGAATTGGAACATTCGATGGAAAGCTGATTGGTTAGTAATAACATGACGGCATAACATAACATGATCGTATTCAATTTTTTGATAAATATCTAATTTACCGACGACTCTTCACAGGTTCTCTCTCCAAAATGATGCCCATAAGTATTAGAGGTTGAAGAAGTTGAATTAATTAGGAACATAAATATGTCACCTTGGGTTGAACAATCCGTATCGTACGAGAATGCTTCTTAGTGCTGTGAAACCTATTTATTGAACTTTTGTCTTCCCTCTCATTTGTTCATAAAGCAATTCATGGACAGTGATGCTGTTCTGGTACCCGCCATTACACTTCAACTGACTCAAGACAATTCCTCCTCACCAAATACAACAGCTTCCACAAAACGGGCTTCGAATTTTGACCATCGTGCACACGGTTCAAATCAGCTGGAACGAATAAAAAAGGACTTGGTCCAAATGGAAGCAGGTTTCTTGTCTACAAGAGAGAAATATGAATCACCTGGTCAGGTAAGAGCATCCGATGTGTTCCCTACTGCCCGTTCCGCATCCACATCGTCCTCCGTTTCGTCCGCGTCCTGTTCACCTTTGCCATCGGATATGGACGGAATGCGCTTCTATCCGCGACGACCGACAACCACGGATGGTAACCGTAATCGTTCAAAACGCGGCGAAAAACGGCGAGCCACATTCTCCGATCTGTTCACAGTGCTTCCATCCCCGCGTAGTAAGCTCCCAAAGCTGTCAAAATTATTGGCACATAAATTCGGCGCACCGGACTCGAGGAGAAAGTTGATCACGACCGATTGTACTCGATGTGTGCAGGATGGGCCGAGTGCCAGTGCGAAAACGCACACCGTACACCTCAGACGACATACACTTCCAGTAACTCAGTGTACCGATGGTAATTCCTCATCGGATACGAACGATCAGTCCGCAATTCCACAATGTCGAGTCTTATTGAGACCAGTATTAGTCACCGAACCTGGACCGGCCAGGCACGATGGATTTCGAAAATCGATATCACAAAATACTCGACCTCATGAAAGACTGTCACTCCCTGTTCGACAGAAGGAGACGAGTTCGTTGGCCAGCAATTCATCGGCAATACACAATGAATTGATGGAAAGTACCCCAACAAGCAACAACAACATACAGTGTTTACCACTGTTGGGCGGACTGGCGGAACCTATAAGCTCAGTAGATAG